CGCCGATAACTAAAAAATAAATATTCAATTTATTTGTTCAATTAATTTTCTTCTTAAGGAAGAATGGGGAGTAAAATCTGATAAATCTTTTTTTTTTTAATGTATGTTTTCATGTGGTGTTGAGGATCGAACTCAGGGCCTCATGCATGAGAGGCAAGCACTCTACCACTGAGCTACAACCTGAGCCTAAAATCTGGTAAATCTATGGGGCAAATTATTTCAAATTGAAACACCAGTCCCATTAATTCTTTTTGTTCTTTACCAAAGCCTAATCTGTTCAAACATCAATGTGAGAAATGCAAACAGGGATATGGAGATATCATATATCTGGCTCAATAGAAGAACACTTGCCTAGAATGCAGGAGAACCTGGGTTCAATCCACAGCACTGAAAAAAAAAAGGGACTAGACAAACATAATTTGCCCATTAGTCTAAAACAAATTGCTCCCGTTTCAGATCAGTATTTCCCTTTATCTGTGAGCACTGATAAAACTAACATGAATCAAAATGAACAGCATATATATGTAAGGGAAACAACTCACGTGACAGCAGCCATGGTCTTCTTTTATCTATACTCCTTTTGGAAGTTCATTTCAAAAATTAGTTAAAATATTGAAAGTAATTAAATCACTGGGCATGGTGGCACACACCTGTAATCCCAGAAAGCTGAGAGTGACGGCTGAGGCAGGAGGATCACAAGTTTAAGGGCAGCCTCAACAACTTAGTGAGGCCCTAGGCAACTTAGCAAGGTCTTGTCTCAAAATTAAAAAAAAAAAAAAAACAGAAAAAAACACCAGGCAAGGTGGTGCACACCTGTAAAGGTCCCAGTGGCTCAGAGACTGAGGCAGGAGGATCGAAGTCCAAAGCCAGCCTCAGCGACTTAGCAAGACCACAAGCAACTTAACAAGACACTGTCTCAAAATAAAAAATAAGGGGCTGGGGTTATGGCTCAGCGGAGAACGCTCACCTAGCTCATGAGAGGTCCTAGGTTCAATCCTCAGCACTACATAAAAATAAACAAACAAAATAAAGGTATTGAGTCCTAAAAAAATAAATATTTTTTAAAAATTAATACAAAAAAATAAAAAATAATGTTGGGGTTGTGGCTCAGTGACAGAGTGCTTGCCTAGCATGCGTGAGGCTCTGGGTTCAATCCCTGGTACCACATAAAAATAAACAAATAAAGGTATCGTGTACATCTACAACTAAAAAAAATATTTTAAAATAAATAAATAAAAAGGGTTGGGGATATGGCTCAGTGGTTGAGCACCCCTGGCTTCAATCCCTGGTACCAAATAAATAAGTAATAAAAAAGGCTGAAGATATGGCTTAGTGTTTACACCATATCCCTGGTGCAAAAGAAAAAGTAATTAAATAGATTTATCAAGTATCTACTCACTGTTAAGAAAACTAATACTCCTCTTTGTAAATATTTGACTGAGTATGTTTTCTACTTGAATTATAGTTGAGATAAAACACTTCTATCCTGGAGAAAATGCCTAAAACCCTAAATGTTAAGTAATGCTAGATACTACCATGCATTAGAAAATTTAGATTGGACTAGGGATGTAACTGAGTGATTTGAGAGCTTCCCTAGCATGTAAAAAGCCCTGAGTTCAATCTCTAATACCCAAAACAATGATTTTAGTTTTTCAACATGACAATCTTGCTATAAATCCTTCAATTTTGGAACAGAAACTTTTTTTTTTTTTTTTTTTTTTTTTAAGGCAGAATCTTGCTAAATTGCTGAGGCTGGTCTCCAACTCTTGATCCTCCAACCTCAGTCTCCCCATTCACTAGGACTTCAGACCATCACGCTGGCAGAAGTCTATCATTAATAGGACATTTGGTTTCCCATTTGGTTATTTTAGTAATACAAACACGAGTTAAGTTTCAAGTCTATCCATAGAAAACAGGGAGAGAAGGGACAACAAATAAGAAAAATATAGGGAGCAAAATATAACCTAAAAAAACCACATGTACTTTCTCCCTGAATGTTTACCCATTTCAAATAAAATCACTATTAATTACTGATTTGGCGTATGCAAAGACATTGAATTTATGCTAAAGCATTTCCAGTTTTTTTTTAATGAAATTGATTGTTGTATTCTGACAGTGTTTGTTTTTCAAAGAATACTAAAGGGATCTGTATGTTCCTCTACTCTTTAACTTTATAAAATGCTGTACTTATTGTTGACAATTCCAATGAATGAGGAAAAATTTGTAGTGCATACATACAAATACATTTACAAAGCAACAAAAAAACACACATGTGTTTCTGGATAAATGATGTAATATATATTTATTTGCATCCTCTACTATCACACAGTGTCTTCAATTTTTTCTATATTTATATTTGCCTTTACTGCACTTGTTTCCATTAATTAGCAGAACTTCCTCAACTTACTAAAGAGCATTTGAGAATCGCTATTTTCTCTAATCCAAAACTGGAAGCAGTTTCTAATGGAACGCATTTTAGTGTATTATTTTATTTATTTTTCAATACTGGGAATTAAACCCCACGAGTGCTCAATCACTGGGCTGCATTCACCCTTCTCTTTTTTTTTGGTACTGGAGATTGAAGCCACTTAACCCCTGAGCCACATACCCACTCCTTTTTTTCTTTTCCTTTTTTTTTTTTTTTAACATTTTTTTTTTTTAGTTGTAGATGGACACAATATCTTTATTTTTATTTATTTTTATGTGGTGCTGGGGAACGAACCCAGGGTCTTACACGTGGGAGGCAAGCGCTCTACCACTGAGCTACAGTCCCAGCCCTCCTTTTTATTTTTCGAGACAGGGTTTCACTAAGTTGCTGAGGCTGGGGCTGTGGCTCAAGGGGTAGTGTGCTCGCCTGGCATGCGTGTGGCCCAGGTTTGATCCTCAGCACCACATACAAA